GCCCCCCAATGTTTCATGTTTTTTCATTTGATACTAGGAGGTGGTGAGGCCTAGTGGGAAGTAATTGAATCGTGGTGACCGCATCATGGTGGCAACACTCTTGTGAATCAACTAATGATGTGTTATAAGACTGTTCAGCTCGAATTCTCATGAGAAGGGATAAGTTCTCATGAGAACTGGTTGCTATAAAAGAAAGAGTCCCCACAGTTTGCTCTCTCTCTGCACTCACCTGCCATCCTCTGTGCTCCCTTATGTCACATGCTGAAGGCCTACCCCTTTGGATTTTTCAGTCACCAGAATCATGAGTTTTTGCAAATAAACCTCCATTCTCTTAAGTTTACCCAGTCTTTGGTATTCCTGTTAGCAACACTAAAATGCACTAATACAGTCCTCAAGTCAAAAAGAACTAATTCTTTTTTTTTTTAAGTTTTTTTTCTTATTACTTCCATGAGTGAGAGAGACACCACCTTTTCTTTTTATTTTTTCTTTGAGAGGTTTTTGCTATAGGGCACGTACACTCACCAGACAGAGAGAGAGAGAGAGACAGACAGAAAGCAAGAAATCACCCCCCAGGGGGGATGGCCATGCCGCAATCCCTTCTCCTCCATTCTCCTTTTGGGATCTTGGGCACGCACGCACACATGCCCGGCATGAGTTTTAAGCCACCGGATCCGGGACATGAATCGCGGTCGACTACATGGGAGTCCAGCGACATAGCCATTACGCTAACTGCTGGTCCTGAGAGATAGCGCTTTTAATAGTTTTGATGCCACAATTCATTCCCAGCTTCAGACAGCCCCAGATCATGGGCATATGCCCAGCGTACTCAGGAAGGTTTCTGGACCACACTCATAATCTTCCTATGTGGGACAGCCTCCAAAAAAACATCACATTTCATGGCTGTGCCACCGTTTAGCCCCTTAAGTTATCTCTTAACCTCCACAAAGAGGACAAAGCCTCCTGAGGTTCTTTAGAGTCTGCTTAGCCTTAGCAGCTGTTGAGGGAGCTATCCAGGGTCCTGGACAGCCTTACTCGGAGGCTTTCTAAGGACTCAGATCGGGTTCTCAGTTATCTTATTGAACCAAAGGCCTCTACTGCACAGAACCATAACAAACTCCTCCTTGATGGCAAGATGAGAAGGCATCTTAGATAACTCGTAAGTCAACACCTACCTGGGCCATGACCGTCTGGGCCATGTTGAGCAACTTCTATGTGTACCTTGTAGAAAAAGTATGGAGGGGCTACATAGTTAGTGGCATATAAACAGGCTTGGCTCTCACTTAATCCTTCTGAAATAATAATGGAAGAGAAGTAGTGAACCCAGAGGAACTCTTTTCCCCTGGAATAATGCTCCAAGATAATACCTAACTGCTCAGCCTATAACCAGATGTGCTTATGCAACTCATCTCAGAGTCTCTGTCTTAAGCACATCTTAAGAAACACTACTTCTACACCCGCAATGATAAATAAATTCACAGAATTCCCAATTTCACCCCCTCTAACTTAAACATATCCTAGACTTTGCTTTTAACAAAATACATTCTGGGATTAGCAGATGCCGTAATTGTTATGTCACTGGACTCTCACATAGTCGACCACGTTTTAAATCCCAGACACAGCGACTTAAACCAGTGTGGCCATCTCCCCGGGAAGTGATTTCCTACTTTCTGTCTCTTTGCTTCTGTCTCTCTGGTAAGCACATGTGCCCAATAGCAAAAATCTCTCTAAAAAGAAAATACATTCAACTGGAGGCCTTTACTCAATTTCTTACGTAATCAAGTTTATACAACAAGTAGTGGATAAAAATTTGTATGCTTTCAAGTCTAACACTTTACCTCTTCAACAAAGCACTTAGAGCACTAGATAATCTGATGTATACTCATTTCTAGCTTTCTTCTTAAGTAACAAGGAAAACAGGGAGACCTACAGCATCTTCAAAACTTTCCATCTATGTGTCAGACCCTTCACTGTCCTTAGATTTGTTTGAGGGGCATTGTGAAATAAAAGCCTCAGAAGGTGAGTAAAACTTTTTACTTCCAAGTTATGGAGACTATGATGAGAAGACAAGTCTAGAAACTCATAAACTTGTTCTGGTGTATCCCCTTCATATACACAAAGAAATCCAATACATGAAAATGCCATCAAAGCAAAAAGGAAATCAAACACTGAGTTTACAAAGTCTAAGATAAAATACATGGCTCAGGACTGTCTTTGTTTCATTCAATGGTAAAGTGATTTTGCTACTTTTTGTTCACATAACTTCCCACCCTCTAACTTTCCTCCTGATCTTTGTTCACATGCTCACCCACATGACTGAACACTAATTCATTCCCCTCCTTCTTCACCTTGCTCATTTGACTCACTCTCCACATTAATTTTATTCAGTAAAATCTCTGAGAGCTTGCCCCACTCCCACTTGAAGTTTGGGCTCTCTTAAGGTCCTTCGATCACCATTCACCTCTACCTTGTCAAAATGTCACTTAATTGACAGTTTGTGTGTCTCCCTCTACTTTATAATGGTAGTACTCCAATAACCTAAGTAATAATATCAAATTACATAAAAATCATATTTAGATTATATAAAATCACATAAACATTAAATTATAAATCACCAAATTATGATCCACAGGTCAGTTCTGGTCAGTACCTATTTTTATCAATGAAGTAGTATTGGCATATAGCCACTCCCACTTACTGACATACTGTCTATGGTGCCAGAGCTGAATGGCTGCAACAGAGACTGCACAACGTACAAAGCTATTACCTGGTCCTTTACAGGAAAACTTAGCTGACCACTGCTCTAAATCATTTCTGGTTTGTTTTGCTTAATTTTTGAGAGATTTTTGCTATAGGGCAGATACACTCACTAAAGAGAAGAACAGAAAGAGAGAAATCACACACACACACACCCCCAGGGAAGGATGGCTATATAGCAATCGTTTCTCCTCCATTCTCCTCTCGGGATTTTTGGCACGCAGACACATGCACCTGATGTGAAATTCAAGCCTCTGGGTCTGGGACTCAAACCACAGTCGGCCACGTGGGAGTCCAGCACCTTAACCACTAAGCCATCTGCTTGCCCTCTAAATCATTTCTACTGATGAGCAAACTCAGGGAAATGACTTGTCCAAGTGATAGGTGGACCTGTCTACCAACCATACCTCTGCCAGGTGCCTCTTATTACCAGATTAAATGCACAGTGAAATAATGACATTTTAGATTGCACAAAGAACAAACAGTAAAATCACAAATTAAGACAATTTTCTAAAGACTTTTAGGGGGCGTATGCTACCTAAACCAAAATGTAAACATCATGTGTATGTGTGTGTGTGTGTGTGTGTGTGTGTATGTTTATGTGTGTGTATATATGGGTGTGTATGTGTGTGTATAGATGTATATATATATATACATTTATATACATGTATATGTGTGTGTATATATATATATTTATATACACACATACATACACATACATACATACATACACACACATACATACACACCCATATATACACATTTACGAGTGTATATGTGTGTATATTTATACTTTGGTTTATATATATTTTGGTGTAAAATATATTTGTGTTGGGTTATCAAAAAAGTCATGAGACCTTTTTGCATAGAAAAATATACAAAAAGTATGTCATATCTTTTCCCATAACCCAATATTGCTTATATTTTGGTGGCTATATATACATTTACATGCACACAGACAGAAAGGTTTACTGTCAAAGAATATTATTAATTTTATAAAACTAACAACAAAAACGTACAAGTCTTACAGTAAAGTTCTAAAAGATGTTGAAAGCAGTAAGTGTCAAAGAAAATGCTTTTAAAATGGACCACGTTGACCTCACATGCTACTCTATTAAGATATGAACAGCTTTTAAAACCTCACCAGCAATGGAAGGAAAAGCAAGAGTCTGTGCCACCCGCCAGCTTTCATCTCATATCAGGGCGGTGAGGGGCTACAGCAGAAAGTCCTAAGGATCACTTCTTCCACCAGTATCTATTAATTTGGCAGACTCCAATTTTCAGGATGTTACTTAAGCTGGATTTCCATAGAGGGAACCACCATTAAACCTCATTGGAAATATGCTGGGTATTCACTTACTAGGCTTCATTTCAGCTGAAAGGTAGAGGAATATGAAAAGGGGATGAAAAATCCCACTCAAGAGGAAAGTGAATTCTGTGAGCCTAAACTGCTATCATACCTCTGTTCCTCTCAGAAAAAGGGTCTTCAGCACAGATATCCTTGGTAGTAAAAATCAGTTTCATCTCCCCAGGGTACATTATGATGCAACAATATAGACACTCCTAGAGTAGAAATAATATGCAGCTGGAAGTATATCAGAGAACCTGCAATTGGTAAACTATAGAAAAGATTGAGAATGAAAGAGGATGAAACGCTACAAGTGGATAATTAATAACTGCTTGGTATGGACCACAGGCCCCATTACAAGTCAGTCACTGGCCATTGAGTCTGCTCATTTTCAAAAAGATCCTGTCATCCATTGAGAAGAGAAAGAGATGGAAGAGAAAAAGAGAACAAGCTAAATTAGAATTGCTCTAGAGCAAAGATCAGAACAGAACACTTACCTGGACAAGATCAGGGTAGAGAAATAATTATGCATAGACAATTCATATCACATCATATCATAGAAGCATAGTTGCCTGTGAAAAACATGAATCTGCCATCTCCCAATCAGGGCACGGACAGCATTTATTTTCTTCCTCAGAGACCCAGCTACTGAAATCCTCCTTCTATAGAGTTGCTCAAGACTGCATCTTGCCAAATGGAGGAAGCAGAATGATTGAGCCCCAGCTGCCCTGGCATCTATCAAGTGCTCTTAAGATCCTGTCTCTTCTCCATGTTTCTACCAAAGATAACTAGTGGACCTAAAGGTATTAGTGTTTCTTGCAGAGAGCTGATCTTCCTTGCTAGTCACTTCCACTCTTAGGATTAAAAATGGAGTAAGTCGTTTTCAACACACTATTACCTTGAATACTTCTTTTGAAGAAGGCCTTACAGCCCTCACAGGACCAGACTCCGTAATGGTAGCCAGAGGCATAATCATTGCACACTGCACAGTAGCGAGTCTCCTTGGCAGATTCCATTGCTAGGCTTCCCTTGTCACTGGTACTGGCCAACCTCTCTCTGCCACCCTGGCGTCGAGTATCTGAATTTGGCCTGGGGGGGAAAGAAAACAATGAATCCATTAACTTTAGAAAGGCAAAGCATGCACTCTCCTCTAAAGAATAAGAGGCTGGGAGATGCAGCAGATCCACTCTATTCTGACATTTTGAAATAATGAATCATAATGTAAGCTAATCTTTCATTACCTCGTGCAGTTTGCTGCAGCAAAAGGTGTTTGCCTATTATATTAACCTTGAGGGGAAGTTGTTTATTGTGAACTTGCTTAAAAAACAGGCTTCCTACACCAGAATATATTACCCAGAAAATGACTAAATAAAATTAGCTGGTTTCTAATAGACTTATTCATTTTCTCAGGGATTTACAATTAATCTAGCGCTATCAGACACTAAAGCTCATTCCAGTTCCAGGCCACACCATGAGTCTTTAGGAAACAGAGACAAAGCATGAAACAGCTGGAGCACTTGAAGCTTGGATGAACTGATGAACAACACGGAACATGTTTGGGGGAGAAAAAAAATATTCAAACATTTATGTCATCATTACCAGGAAACTGGACACCAGTGTTCATACCCTGACTCTATAATTTGAGGGTAATATTCTTAAATATTTGATACTCCTCCTCAAGATCATGTTGAATGAGAAGAGGAGAGGAACCCAGATGGCTACATCAACCTTAAAGATTTCATGGAGGAAGTATTTCTCAGAAAGGAGCCAGTAAGAATGTTCTAGGAAGCCCAAGAAAATGGGGAAGTAAAAAGCCTTCAGGAATATAAAGCTTTAAGAAGAGAGTGATCAAGGGTGCCAAATGGGACAGAGAAGTACAATAAAACAAGACTGAAAAAATGAATTTAGATTTGACAAAAAAGATGCTTAGCAAAAGTTTCAAGAGAGGGGTGTATGCATTAGCCAGTGTTGATCCATTGGATGGAAGAGTGGACAGAATGTAAGGAAATGAAAATGAATGAAGGCTATTTCTTTGACTACTTGTACGAGACTGAGAAGAGGAAGAGATAGAATAGTAGCTAAAAATTTGAAAGAAAAAAAAACATTTTTAGGATGTAAAAGTTTCAAAAAACCTCATGGAGACACAAGGAATACACTAGTTGAGAGGGGTTTGGTTGAAGGCACAGAGAAAGGGACCAAAAAAATAACAATCAAAATAAAACAAAAGCAAGTAGAACAGTTGGGATTAAAGACCTAGGTTACAAAGAGCAAGCTCAATCAACACACCTTAAAGAAGAGTGGAAGAAAGATGGTAAGGAAGGAGTAGATGAGGATACATTTGCATCTTATATCTGAGCAAGTATGGAAGCAGCTATTATATTGACTCAGGACTTCCTACTCATGTGCAATCAAATAAAGGTAGCATAAGCAAACTGGGGTACATGACTAGAGTTCAGTAAAAGGCCTGGTATTGCAGTCAGTCCTCAATAACATGCTTATATGAACGGGAAAATCATTCAAAAGTGTACATGAAAGAGGTAGAAAGATTTAGAAGGGTACATGGAGCAATCTCTCCTATGAGACTTGTAGAAACAAAAACCTAAGTTGAGATCAACTAAATTGAAGATAAAGTGCCCAGATCTCTTGGTTAGGGAAGGTCATGCTTTCTGCTTCCAATCCCCACCCATATAACCAGGTCTTGCTGACTCTCACTGGTCCTGCCCTTCACAAGCCCTGCCTTTCCTCTCAATTTAATTGTATAACCTTTCCCTGACCTTCTCCCTCACTAATATTGTCCACAATTTTGTGGTTGTGGTTTTCAAATTACATTTGCCATGAAATTCACAAAATACTGGCCTCTTGGGTTGAGTACATTTGACTTTGCCAGTTTTTTCCATTCTAAATAACTTAGCTCTGAGGCTGGCCATCTCAAATAGGACTTCTTTATTATTTAATGATCCTTAGAGAACTCTGGCTTCCAGTTTTCAATTCTAGTTCATATTGTCTTACTCATCTCTTTCCATTTCATCACGGTGCTGTCAAATTCCTCTCTCCCAAACGTCCTCAAATCTTGGACTGTTTACTAATGTTTTAGATATAATTCAAGTCAGTAGAAAGCAATTGTGAATATTTAATTGTAGAAGCTTTGGAGGTAGGAGTAGATGTTTAGCAAGTATGTAATTGACAGATTCAGTGTCTTATAAACCTTATTGGGTGAGCCAGTGACTTCTTTGACTACTTGTACGAGACTGAGAAGAGGAAGAGATAGAATAGTAGCTAAAAATTTGAAAGAAAAAAAAACATTTTTAGGATGTAAAAGTTTCAAAAAACCTCATGGAGACACAAGGAATACACTAGTTGAGAGGGGTTTGGTTGAAGGCACAGAGAAAGGGACCAAAAAAATAACAATCAAAATAAAACAAAAGCAAGTAGAACAGTTGGGATTAAAGACCTAGGTTACAAAGAGCAAGCTCAATCAACACACCTTAAAGAAGAGTGGAAGAAAGATGGTAAGGAAGGAGTAGATGAGGATACATTTGCATCTTATATCTGAGCAAGTATGGAAGCAGCTATTATATTGACTCAGGACTTCCTACTCATGTGCAATCAAATAAAGGTAGCATAAGCAAACTGGGGTACATGACTAGAGTTCAGTAAAAGGCCTGGTATTGCAGTCAGTCCTCAATAACATGCTTATATGAACGGGAAAATCATTCAAAAGTGTACATGAAAGAGGTAGAAAGATTTAGAAGGGTACATGGAGCAATCTCTCCTATGAGACTTGTAGAAACAAAAACCTAAGTTGAGATCAACTAAATTGAAGATAAAGTGCCCAGATCTCTTGGTTAGGGAAGGTCATGCTTTCTGCTTCCAATCCCCACCCATATAACCAGGTCTTGCTGACTCTCACTGGTCCTGCCCTTCACAAGCCCTGCCTTTCCTCTCAATTTAATTGTATAACCTTTCCCTGACCTTCTCCCTCACTAATATTGTCCACAATTTTGTGGTTGTGGTTTTCAAATTACATTTGCCATGAAATTCACAAAATACTGGCCTCTTGGGTTGAGTACATTTGACTTTGCCAGTTTTTTCCATTCTAAATAACTTAGCTCTGAGGCTGGCCATCTCAAATAGGACTTCTTTATTATTTAATGATCCTTAGAGAACTCTGGCTTCCAGTTTTCAATTCTAGTTCATATTGTCTTACTCATCTCTTTCCATTTCATCACGGTGCTGTCAAATTCCTCTCTCCCAAACGTCCTCAAATCTTGGACTGTTTACTAATGTTTTAGATATAATTCAAGTCAGTAGAAAGCAATTGTGAATATTTAATTGTAGAAGCTTTGGAGGTAGGAGTAGATGTTTAGCAAGTATGTAATTGACAGATTCAGTGTCTTATAAACCTTATTGGGTGAGCCAGTGACATGGTGGTTAAGCAGCTGGATCCCACATGATTGACTGTGTGAGTCCTGGACCAGCCAGCCAATGGCTTGAAAAATATAGTGGGTGTATGTGTCTGGGTACCCAAAATCCTGAGAACAGAAGAGAAGGGATTGCCCATGCTATTCCCCCAGCTCAGGGATGCTTTCTCCATTTCCCTCTCTTCCTCTCTCTCAACTCTCTCTCTCTCCAGTGAGCGACATGTCTACAGCAAAAATTATAGACAAACTAACCAACTAATTGTTGTTGCCTCAGTACCTAGCTAAGTGCCTAGGACATTTCAGGCTGCAATACACATTTTTTGAAGGAAGAAAAAAGAAGAAAGGGAAGTAGGGTATTTGCATGGGCAAAATTTCCAAGGTGTGCAATATCCTCCCATCCATTTCTCTATGATAAATGACTACATTTTTTTCATTATGGTAAGATACACATAGCATAAAATTCGCCATCTTAACCTTTCTTACATATACAATTCAACTGTATTAAGTGTGAGCCACACTATTGTACAGCCCATCTTCAGGTTTTCCAGCTCCAAAACTGAAACTCTATATCCACTAACAGTAAGTCCCCATTTCCTGCTCTCTCCAAGCCCTGATAACAATATTCTACTCTCCATCTCTATGAACTTGACTCTTCTAGTTACTTTACATAAATGAAATCATGTAAGATTTGTCTTTAAATCTGGCATATTTCACATAGTTCTTCAAGGTTCATCCAGTTGTGACATGTACCAGAATCTCCTTCCCTTTTAAGGCTGAATAATAATCCATTGTAAGTATGTTCCACATTTAGTTTATCCATTTATTTGTCCATAGACATTTGTGTTGTGTCCACCTTTTAGCTACTGTGAATAATGCTTCTATGAACACAACTGTTCACATATGTTCTCAAGACCTGGCTTTTTTATTCTTTTTGATAGATACACAGAAGTAAAATTGCTATATACGGCAATTCTACTTTTAATCTTTTGAGAAACCACCATACTATTTTCCATAGTGTCTGGACCATTTTACATCCTCACCAACAGCACACAGGGTTCCAGTTTCTCCATTATTCTCACCAACAGTCACTATTTTGTTTACCGTTTGTTTTTATAGCCCTCTGAATGACTGTAAGATGAATACTGCATTTTTCAAGTCACCTTTCACGTGGATTCCTATCTTAATTCTTTTTTTGTTTGTTTGCTTAGAGAAATTTTTGCTATAGGGCGTGTGCACTCTCTGGAGAGACAGACAGAAAGCAACAGAAAGCACTTCCTGGGGGAATAGCCATGCTGCAATTCTTTCTTCTCCATTCTCCTCTTGAAATTTTAGGCACACGCGCACACGCACCGTGCATGAGTTTTAAGCTGCCGAGTTCAGGACTCAAACCACAGTTGGCCATGTGGGAATCCAGCAATGTAACCTTTACATCATCTTCTGATCCCCCTACCTTAATTCTAACCACAGCTGATCCCCACAAATTTAAAATAACTTGTTCTTGTTCTGAACTCTATAGAAGCAATATCCTTCTTTCTTTTCTACTACTTACTACATTATTTATTCAAAAAATTCATTTTTGTCTCGACTGCTGTCTGCAAAATTCCTTGTGTCGTATTCATCTTTATAACATCAAGTACTTAGAGCATAGTGCCCTACTCAGAATAGAGA